CTAAACTATTTAACTACGTCGTAGTCTTTGACTCCAAAAATCAAACAAAAAAATGGGACCCACCTGCAAGCATTACCTTTCGGATAAAAACTGAATTATCAAAATCGGTCCACTAGGGGCGGATTTATGCCGTAACACACATAAAAAAAACATACAGACGAATTGAGTACCTCCTTCTTTTGGGAAGTCGGTCAAAAAGTGGTGCAAAGATCACCTCCTCATTTTATTGTTTTTGACTTTTTTTATGCAAAACGTTTGAGAGGATTTGAGAGAAAGGAACTTTCGTTTGAGAGTTCCTAGTTTCTCCGTAGAGGCAATTTTCAATTTTTAGCGTGAAGTTCGATTTGGGGTCGATATTACTGTGATTATTTATTGTTTTTGGTAACATAGTAATGATAATAATATACTAAAATCCATCTGAAGCTGAAATCCGCTAACTTCAGACAACAAAAACAACATTTTTTTAAATCATTATTGTCCTCAAATCACATTTCAACATGGTCACCATCGCCAGAGAGGGATAAAAGGTACAGGTATTGAGATCTCGCACGGCTTCAATTTTGCGACAAGAGCTCAATCCTGTTCTAGTAGCACATCCATGATATATGAAAACGGAGGACAAAAATGGAGGACATTTTTTTAAATGCAACCAACATGACGAACATGATTTGCAAGGCAAACAACATAGCAAATAAATCTTACTGTCGTTGTCTATGGTTTCACTTTTTTTTACCTTAATGAAAACTTATATTATGCAAAACATATAAATTGACATAAGGTTCCTTAAAAATTTACATCAAAATTATCAATCGTAACAAATGTTTTAGAAAATACAATAATAAGCGATATGCGCTATGCACTATGCGCTATGCGCTATTTGCAAAACGCGATATGCGATTTTCGAGTTTCGAGTTTCGAGTTTTCGATAAGCGATATGCGTTATGCGCTATGCGCTATGCACTATGCGCTATGCGATATGCGCTATTTGCATAACGCGATATGCGATTTTCGAGTTTCGACTTTCGAGTTTTCGATAAGCCATATGCGATATGCGCTATGCGCTATGCGCTGTGCACTATGCGCTAT